TCAGAGCACAGCAAACCCCCTTGAGTCCTTGTGTGGGGATGGTACCCTGGGGCTCTGACGGTGGCCAGGGCTGCCAGGGACCATGCTAAAACACACAGAAACACTAAGCTTGATTTTCATAACTAAACCCACAGAGATACTCTTGAGTTAAAATGGAGCCTAAAAATGTGACAGGTGAGACAAAAAAAGCCAAATTGAAACTGAGTGAAAGTTGATAAAAAGCTTCAGTTCTCCAAATGCACGAACTAGTAACAGTGAGATTCTTTAACACTTAACTTTTCAAAGATGAGGTTTTATTCAGACCGATCAGATCTATTCTATCACTGTCACTTGAAGCAAATGTTCTAACCACGTGAAGAAAGGACACCGTGGGCAAGCAGGATTCCACAAGTATAGAGTTTCCACTGGCAGCTCATACATGGCAACATGTGCCTGAGTAATGTATGATTCACAGGGCAATGAGGCACACCCTGTCTTCAGCGGGGCAGCAATCACTGCCACTACAGAAGAAACTCCTGATATTAAAGATATCGTAAGGCACTGGCAATACTGGATCACAGTACACAGCACTGTGGAGTGGCAGGAAGGACAGGCAGGCACATGCCACCTCATGGGACTCAGCTCTCCCAGATGGAATTTGGGGCTCTCAGCAGTAAGACCACAAGGCACTGCACAGATGTGTATAAAGATGTAAGAGGATTTCTATTAAAATCTATAACACAGAACTGATTTACAAAATCCCAAAAGGTGAAAACCTGAGTTTAACCTTCATGATTCAGATGTTTGCCTTTATTTCTCCAAGTTCACTTCCCTGGAGTGTTTATGTAGGGCTATTAGCTCATGTAAATTGAAAAAGAGGGACAAAAAAACCCAAACAAAAAACCCCCCCAAACATGGCAAAAAAAATTGCTGATTAATCATTTCCTTCAGATTTGCTTCAGAAGACTGGCTAGAGTATCCAGGAACAGCCCACAAAGTCTCCATATATATGTGCATATCAGTATGTATATGGACAACCATATACACACAGTCCCTCTCATACTATCTATCAACACACACATAATATGGTGCTGATATTCCCCAGTGCCTTCCCTGTATCATCTCCAAAAGGAAATGGGGTCTCACACCATCCTCTGCTCCATGCAGATGTAATGATGTGACAAACAAAACATGACTCTGTCAGGGACATTTATAGCACAAACAGGGTGGGGGTAGCAACCAATGAAGGCTCCTCCTGAGTTAACTCTATTAACCCGTATCTCAGCCACCAGTGGAGAAACCTCTCCAGCGTCACACCGACCTCACACTCACCCTCAAACTGCACAGCAGCTCTGTGCTGATCTGCCCCAGAGCTCCCTGAAGGACAGCCAAAGGGCTTTCCCAATGTTCTCAACTGCACTAATGGGATTTCTTATATGTGCTCTCTCACCTAGAATAGATGTTTCCGAGACACACATGAAAGCAATGTCAGTTGAAGGTTACTCATGTGTTAGTCATGCAGTTTTAAAGCCAAAAGGAAACAGCACTGAGGGAAAGCACTTCTAATGAGTGTCATTAACAGACCTCCATCTGCCAACCACAAACTATGACCACATGCCTTTGCTCCACTTCTTCCCTGCCCACGACAAATGCCATTCTGCATACAATTCTCCCAAGTTACACATCCTAGTTCTAGCACAACTGCAATTTTAACACTAGAGTGAGGAACAGAGGGACAACTGCTTTGTGGGCATGGCATTTGTTCAGCTGCTCTGAGAAGTACAACAGAACTGGAGGGTCCAACATGAGTCGTATGCTTGACATTTTACTCACAGCTTCACAGACATCAGTTAGCCAAGCACAAGCAGAAAAGAGCACTCGAGGACAAATGTCACCTGATCTTCAATTTCTATAGAGCAAATCCAGGTTACAGCCTACCCTGAGCTACTCCTAATGACATGGAATAAAAGCCATTTCATGCACAGGACATTTTTTTAAAAGCACACAAACAGGAATTAGATGTACCTTCAATGCTGGTCCCACTAGAAAGATGCAATGCAACTTGAAAAACAAATAAAAGGGAAACACTTTTCTGTGGGGAGGGAGGAGTAACATAGGTGGGAGTAACAAACCTGAATCTCTCTGGAAGGAAAGTCAGGATTAAGCTAAAATCAGAACAGTCTCTTTCTGATTTACCTTCAAGGTACATAAAGCCAGAAAAACAAATTTATGTAAGGGTATTTTTTTCTCAGGGCTCTTATTTTGTTCATCAAATTTCACTCTTGATGATGGCTCTGAATTACTGTCCATCGTCTTAGACAACTCTTCCATGTGAGCTCTCACTCAAAATGCAACACATTCTTTGTCTAGTATGGAACCCTGCAGATGGAAGAGGCTGCCAAGCACAGCAGCCTGTACAGCATATGTGTTGGCTTGTGTGTCTAAGTCCTGAAATCCTGCCTTGGTGTGTGCCACAGCCTGTACTTCACAGCCCAGAAAGATTTTTCCAATTAAACACACCTTGGGAGTCCTATGCAGAATGTGTCCAGGAGGTCATGCTCCAAGCAAATCTAACATTCAGTGATGGGATTAGGCTTTACACAAAGTTAAACTGCATTTATTCTGAAATGTAAGCTGATACTGCCTTTTTGCAGGGTGTCACACTTGCTCAGACAGCAGGAGATCCATCCTCCATATCCTCTTCCATGCA